GATGTTTAGAAAATTTAGCCCCCATTCGGTAGTCCCAAAAAATCAATTTTTTTAACCTTTATTTCACTATTTCAATCGTTATTCTTGATTTCTTCACTCACAGATCAGACTCACTCTTCTTTCTTACAATCAAAAATTTAATTCTCACAAGCCCTTAATCAAAATAAAAAACGATAAGTATCTTGTCAAAAATTTCCCTTATAAATACGGCACAATGAAATCTCAAGTCTCCAGTCAGTTCACTATCTCTCAATACATCTCTCTGTAAAAGTCTAGAGAGAGAAAGAGCAGCTAAATCATCATTCACACACTTCTCTGTTAGAAAGAAAGAGACAAAGAAAATGACTAATGAATGACAACAAAGTAAAGCAGCAAAAGTGGAGAAAAAAGAAAAAGGTTAGAAAAAGCAATAAAGCAGTTGGTTTTCAGTTGGTTAATCAATGGAATGATGGAAAACACAATCCAATCCAATCCCAAGGGGTAATTTCGTCATTTTGTAGTTTCATCCATGCGCTCCGGCGGTGGTGCCGCCGCTTCTGATGTGTTTGTCGGAATAACTCTCGCCGCCGGTTTATTGTGCGGTACTAGGTGAAAAAACCCTAGGAGGTACAGTGAAGTGAATTATTTATTTGAGAAATAGTTGGAAAAAATAACAAGTTTTGTAGATGAAATCTCTAAAACGAAGTCAAACTTCGTCGAAATCTACCTCGCCTTCCTCGTCATCTTCAAATACATCGTCGTCTTCACCATCTTCTTCCTGGATTTATTTGAGATCGGTTTTATTTGTAGTAGCTTCATCCTCACCAGCTTCGTGTTCTTCTTCTTCAACCCATCGGTGAGTCTCGTTACCTTTAATCAAATAGTTTGGTAACTGTTTCTAGTTCAGATCTTGATCTTATACATCTTGTTAATTACTCCGCGAGCTCAATCTATTACCTAGTGCAGCTCAGATTTAGTAAATTCGGTTAATATGTTTAAGATTTTGTTTTTGTGGAGTGATTTCAATTTGACTTGGAAGCTGAGCCATAAACTAGTACTCAATTATATTGCCAGTCAAATATTGTTTGAGGACTTTGTTGGATTCATTTGTCTTGTTGTGGCATTTGATGATGTTATTGTAGATTTTTTTTTGTTTTTGTTCCACTAAATATTTCAAATGTTCATATCAAGAACATACAATTGGTCAAATATCATGAAAGGAAAGTTTCACTTAGTTTGTCTTTGTCCTGTTGGTTCGGAATTAGAAGGAACGGCTGTTCAATTTGGAACGTACAGAGCAGTGTATCTGCTAGATGATTTAATTCTGAGTTTTAAATTTGTAAAATGGAAGACATCTACTTTGAAATTAGAAGTTGACCTCCTCTTCCCAAAACTTGAGCTTTTTCAGATTTTTACACACTTGACAGGAACAAGGAAATGGTTAAAATTTTTATTCTACGTCAGGACATACAGTTAGAACGATGGAAGACTTAAATACGGAGAGAAAAATCCAGTGATAGCTTTTTATGCTGACCTTGCCTCTTTATGAAAGCAAGATTGTTCCCGATTATAATATCTTTTTATGTCTTAACATTTTTATTCCTGTGTCTGCGTTGCTTTATATATTAAGCTAGTGATTGTTAGTCTTTTATATGGCTACAAGGACATCCTTGATTTTGGCAAATCCTCCTCATCATGCTTCTTCTTGTGTTCTAGGTTAATGTTTTGAGGTCCTTGTGACATTTTTATAGTCAAATGTCATATGGTACTAATTCATTTTCGTTATCTTTTGTTTGTGAAAAATATTCTGTAAAGAATTGTAGCTATTTCTATTAGAAGGTTGTAGATTTATAGCCTTCCATATAAGCTTATAACATGAAATACTTCTATTCTAAATGTTTTGATTGTCAACTTACATTCTTTTGTTGACATTGCTTTCTCATTCATCAAATGAAAAATTAGCATTATTTCCATTTCCAGAGGTCATCTTAAATCGCCATGGTCGCGCAGAAAAAGAAAACACATACTATCATCTCGTCATTGGAGAAATTTGTTTACATCAGATGGAAAACTTCGTGATGGTGGAGTGAAATTTCTGAAGAAAGTTCGCAGTGGGGTGAGTTGCCCATTTTTTTGGTTCTCAAGTTTTCACTGTTTCGAAGGGAAAAAAAATTGAAAGCTTTTGTTGTGCTTTATTTGCCTATAAATGAGATAATATACTTGGCAATCATTTTTGAATATGATTTTCATGACTGCTAAATGTAGGGTGTTGATCCTAGCATCAAGGCAGAGGTTTGGCCATTTCTTCTTGGAGTGTAAGTTGATTCTCTTTTTGGAAGTGATAGCAGCCTGTCATTGGTGAGATTAATGATGTAAACCTGATCTTTTGGAAATGTCCTTAACTAGCTAATTTTCCTTCTGTCTTGGACGTAAAGGTTAATTTGGTTCAATAATGGTCATCATTTCAAAATGTCAGTATTAATGTAGTTTTAAATCTCTTAACTTTGACCCATGTTTCGTTCATGACATCTTATTTTAGTGGTTGTAAGTGAAAGGTAAAGTATGGAGGCCTTAACGTCTTTTACACATTAGAATCTGAAGAGAAATGGAAAGAAGGATTGGGAAAAAGCATCTCTACTTCATGTTCCTGCAATTTTTTAAATCAATCTACCCTTGTCTTACTGTTTCTATGGTGCATCTAAAGAAAATTTAGTTGGCAAAATCTCTTTCTGCTTTGATTCTGACTATATATCGTTCTGCAGCTATGATTTATCCAGTTCCAAAGAAGAAAGAGATATTATCAAAACTCGGAAAATGTTAGTCAACTCTTACTTTTTCCATTATATTAATTTATAAATCTTTATTTTTCATGTGGCTGATTAGTTGATATTGATGTTTTAAGTATATTTTGTATTCACTTCCGTTTGACATTCAATTGTTGGATGCAGAAAGGAATATGAGAAACTACGAAGAAAGTGTCTCCGGCTTCTCAAACATAATAATGATTTCTTTAAGTTAAACGAAACTGGTGAGGCAAGCAATGGTGACAGTGGAGGTCTCGTTGAAGGCATCGGTTCCCCCAACTCTGACGATGTTGTGAGCGCCAGAGAATCCCTTTCCAGTGAGGAAAGGTTTCCTTATGATGAGGACTCAGATCGTCCTACTAACACAATGATGGATGGATGTGCTGGTTCTAAACGAGTGACAGATTCAAATGTCATCGCATTCTCGGATTCATCGTACTCAGACTCCTCCGAAGATCCCGATGCAAGTCAAACTTTCAACTTCACAGAAAATGGGTCGGAGAATGATCGTGATATTCTCTCTATGGAGGATTCTTCTCCCTCAAAGATGGAAGTCCAGTCAGAACCCCGTAGTGCGGAAGATTTTGCCACCTGGCAGCGAATCATCCGCCTTGATGCTGTCCGTGCTAGTGGAGAATGGATAGCATACTCCCCAGTTCAGGCTACTGTGTCAGAAGGCAAAGCACACCATTCTGCTGAGGTTGTTGGATTGAAGGATTATGATCACCTTGAGCCCTGTAGGATCTTTCATGCTGCCCGTTTAGTTGCCATTCTTGAAGCCTATGCACTTTATGACCCCGAAATTGGCTATTGTCAGGGAATGAGCGATCTACTCTCCCCCATAATTACTGTTATGACAGAGGATCATGAAGCTTTCTGGTGTTTCGTAGGTTTCATGAAGAAGGCTCGTCATAATTTCAGGCTTGATGAAGAAGGAATCAGAAGGCAACTGAACATTGTTTCTAAAATTATCAAGTTTAAGGATTCACATCTTTTCAGACACTTGGAAAAACTCCAGGCAGAGGATTGCTTTTTCGTGTACAGAATGGTGGTGGTACTCTTCAGACGGGAACTGACTTTTGAACAAACTCTGTGTCTTTGGGAGATCATGTGGGCCGATCAGGCTGCAATTCGAGCTGGAATTGGTAAGTCAGCATGGAGCAGGATAAGGCAGCGAGCCCCACCAACAGATGATCTCTTGCTTTACGCAATTGCAGCCTCTGTATTGCAGAGGAGGAAACAAATCATCGAAAAGTATAATAGCATGGACGATATTTTGAGGGAGTGCAATGCAATGGCTGGGCATCTTGATGTATGGAAGCTTCTGGACGATGCACACAACTTGGTGGTAACCCTCCATGACAAGATCGAGACTCCTTTATGATGTGCGCATGTTCACTTTGCTAATTTATTTACTCTGATTATCCCAGCTTTAACGTGTCAAAAAAGTGTCCGGTAAGTCTCTTGGACTCAAATTTGAGACACGTTGAGGAAAAAAACTTGTTGCAGGCCGTTTTACTTGGTCGAGTTTTATAAAGGGGAATTCTAAGTTATCTAAAACATCTTTGTTCTGAATACTTGATTTTTTGAGATGAATCCAGTGGATGGTGAACTAAAATTGTTGATACTGATATATGAATTGACTAATACCATATCTGTATGTTAGGAGGATTTTGTCTAGGTTGTTTTGTCCTAATTGTCGTTTAAATAATGAAACAGACATAGTTTCTTCTTAAAGAAATGGGTGCTTGAATTGGTAAATCCTTCTATAGGTTTTGAATGCATTTGGATTGATGGATTCGGATTGTTGATTGAATTGAAGTTTGACGAGTTTCAAGCCCAATGATCATTGTTAAATCACTTTCAAATCTGAAATGGTTTTAGTTTCAACTATAAAATCCTTTAGGAAAGAGGAAGAATTGATATATAGCTATTAGGGGTTGGCTTTTTTACCTGAAAACATTGAAATAGACCTGGACTAAATTGAATTAATCTGTGCAGTTTGGTTCTAGTTGAAATCAGTTGGGTTCTTCATCTTANAAAACATTGAAATAGACCTGGACTAAATTGAATTAATCTGTGCAGTTTGGTTCTAGTTGAAATCAGTTGGGTTCTTCATCTTAAAGCCTGTTTGGGTGTGATTTTGAGAATTGATTTTTTGACCGTTAGAGGAAAAATGGGATCCACCTGTGAGAGAAGAAGTCAAGTATGACAGCTGGGATAGTGAAATAACGGTCAAAAAATTGCTCCCAAACAAGCTATTAGAATTGACATCCGTGTGATTTTTTTTTTGGTTCCGGTTCCTTTTTTTTTATCTAAAGTTGATGGTTTCAATATCACAATTTTCAAGATATCTCGATTGCACCACTGATGCCACCTCTAATAGCTGGTGCTCCATAATTGGGTGAAATGGCCCAATCAGGCTAACATGATACCAATCTATTGTTGATGGTGTTTTTAGGAAGGACTTTGTTCTCGAATATAATCAATTAATCCCCAAATCGAGGAGCTTAAGAGAGAATAAAGTAAGGTGAGGGAAAGGGGACACCACCAAGTAGAAAAACCTCTTTAGAGATGGGGGCAAATATTACACAAGCTTATTAGTCAGATGGAACAATCTTAGTCTACGAAGCAGAGCATTTTCAAAGCTTAAATTTTTAGATAGAACTCATAAAAATTGTAGCGAAAATTTCTCGACAAATCTTGATTCCGAGCTCAGAAAACAATCAAACGAACACCGGTTTACCTCGGCTCAACCAGAGACTTTCGTTTTTACTTTGGACTGCTCTCTTTCTCTCTAACCCCACAAAGAAGAAGGGTGGTGGTGTTAGTAATTCACAAAGGTCTGGAGAGGAAGAAGAAGATATCACAATGGTTGAATCTCACTCACAACCTCATATGGCTTCCCTCTCTCTCGGCTGCCTCTCTTCTCTCAACTCTCAACTCTCCTCTCCATTGCTACAACACACACACACACCAAAAACGATTGGGAGATAAATACATATATATAGGTTAGTTTAAGTCACCAAATATGGGCCAAGAGATCTCTAAGTGGGCTGCCATATAACCTAAACTAATGGACCAATTTCCAACTCCATATTAATCACTAAATGGTCCAACTAACCAAATAATCATCCAACCCAAATCCAAGCCATCCAAAAGTGTAGTTCGTCTCCGAGTCGAACCAAGTCCATGGTGTCGATAAATAATCCGACAACTGTTTTAAATTATCGCCCGGATTATTGGGTATCAAAAACCTAACAATCTCCACCTTGATGCTCAATAATTTGCAAGCAACCAAAACACACAGTTTATACTTGCACAATTAAGGTAATCCAATAAAATTAGAATCATAGACCTTACCTCGTGTTTCGAATCGAAACACATACGATACTTGCTTCATGTACTCACCAGGGCTAAGGTCAAGAATACCCAAGTAGAAACAAGTATTCACAATGAATAAACAATCATGTGATGAAGATATAGAGGATAACACACATACAGATTTTTTCAAAATCACGTTCACATAGAACCACAGATTAACACCTAGTTAATCAAACCACGGTCAACTACGTGTGCAACACATGCATAAATGACCCTAAGAAAAGATCTCACCACACTTATCATATCCCATTCCGTGTTACTCACACCTCGAGAACACATATCTCCTCTCATCGCCCACCATGCTCACTAAACTAATCACTCAATTCTTGTCTAACTGGCATGTAACAATAGATCCTAAACTCTCGGGAAAATCCTCTATCACCACATCACTTCTCCCAACCTACGTGGATAATGGGACTTTGCCTTACAGAAGTGATAGAAGTGCATCTCTCACACTCTACCTGATCAGGGTCTCTTTCACAGATAAATGATTCTACACATTTGATCACATCTCCACTTAGGATCCAAATGTCATACTCTACATCCCTCGTGCATATCACCAATTCACCTCTAGGCATCTATACTCCACCTTACCAAAAGACATCAAACTCACTGCTAATGCATCTCAAATTTACTATGGCAAGACAACACCTTTCAGTGACCACAAAAGGTTCTCCAATCACCGAAACTCCAAAAAATCCACAAAGAAAATGACGAAGGTGGTACTCACAAAGAAAAATAGAAGAAAGAGTCGGTTACTTCACAACACTCACAAAGGAGACTCACAAAGATAAAAAAGGTAACTCTAACATGACTGCCTCACATAATCTCACAAACCACACAGGCTCACAAAGATAAAGGAGAGAAACAGCTGCCCAACTTTCTTCTCACTACCACACTCTCACACCACTTACAGAGCAAACAGAGTACGCCACAAAACTCAACCCACTATGCATGTAAACATGTTACACAAAGTAATAAATCACTCTAATTCATGCAATTACACACATCAAACAAGTTGAAAGTGTAACATCAATATTGCAACAAAATTAAATGATCACATACATGCAGAAAGGATTACACACAGATGCAATGTAAGAACCAGGTTTATTCTCTCAATAAACCTCGCTAGGATCACTACACGACCTTAAAGTCACATTCGCCTTCTCTCTATCTTCATCTTTTTTTTTATTATCATTCTAGGACAATCTCTTTCAACTATGCCCAAGTTTTACCACAGTTAAAACATATTTTATTTTTCGCACTTGCCTTAGACCTATACATGCCAACTATACCAAATAATAACCACAAGCAAAATATTGACATATAATTCACACAGAATAGTCAAGTAAACTTTCCTAAGGTCATATGCAATTCTATCGGTGTAGAAAAAATTGGTAACAAATTCACATGGAATTTAAGACAATTAATTAACATGTAATTCCTAGGTCTAACAACAGGCAATGGTTACCCCAAACCTAACGTCACCCCACACGATGGCTTCTGACGCGAAAAATAAATAATTAACTTACACATTAATTTTAACTGCAATAATAAAAAGCAAAGAATACGATACTGAGCGGACCACGTCTGAAGGTTCGTAAATATCGAGAGATGCGAATTCACCACTTCAGAACTATCACTATTTATCCTAAAGTCACCAGCAACCACATCAACACGAAAACAGCACCCGACACCCGAACGTCCAAGGGCAAAATCGTCCAACTTTCACCGCATTGCTCAAAACTGAAATCCGACAACACCGCAAGGTCCGCATCGTCACCAGCAACATTCTGTCTGAAGACATCATCGCCAAATTCCTCCAGACGCGCCCTCACGCGCCTCGTCGGCATCCCCACGCGCCGGTGGCGGTGATCTGTCACCCTTTTAGCTTCTCCTCCGCCTGCATAGTCCACCAGTGGTGTCCGTTTCGCCAAACACCTTTTGGTTTCACCAGAAAACACCAAAACAGATCCGGCAGAAATTTGAAAAAAAAAAAAAAAAAACTAGATAGTTTCTGCCTCTAATTTCCAAATCCGTTTTCGATCACTTCCAGCTCGACTTTAGCCCCAAAAATCACAGATTTATTAACAACACAAGCTCTGATACCATTTGTAGCGGAAATCCCTCAATAAATCTTGATTCCGAACTCAAAAAATAATCAAATGAACACCGATTTACCTCGACTCGACCCGAGACTTCCGCTTCCACAAAGGTATGGAGAGGAAAAAGAAGATATCACAATAGTTGAATCTCACTCACAACCTCACATGGCTTCCATCTTTCTCGACTGCCTCTCTTCTCTCAACTCTCCTCTCCATTGTTACAACACACACATACTAAAAACGGTTGGGAGATAAATACATATATATAGGTTAGTTTAGGTCATCAAATATGGGCCAAGAGATCTCTAAGTGGGCTGTCATATAACATAAACTAATGGACTAATTTCCAACTCCATATTAATCACTAAATGATCCAACTAACCAAATAATCATTCAACCCAAACCCGAGCCATCCAAAAGTGTAGTTCGTCTCTGAGTCGAGCCAATTCCATGATGTCGATAAATAATCCAACAACTGTTTTAAATCATCGTCCGGATTATTGGATATCAAAAACCCAACAAAAACAAGTATCTAAGTTGTTTTTCCTTTACTAAAGAAGATGTGAAGTTACGAAATTGAATTGGAACAAAAAATCAAGGTCTTAAATAAGAAATCTAGGTCATCATATATCTCCATGAACTTTTCCTTTGCTAAAGAAGATAGTGAAATTATGATAAGAAACAAAAAAAAAAAAAAAAAAAAAAAAAAAAAAAAAAACTTAAAACACCATTTTTAAAATTAAAAATTTTTAACATTTCTCCTTGGTGTAGCTTCGGACGACGAAGGTCAGCCCTAAAATCAAGAGAGGAACAAAGAACTGCAAAATCCTGATCGTGAAATCCGGACCCTTGTTTGCCTTGGACACGACTTCTTGTGGAGGAACAAAAGCGCGTTTCTTGGGAACTGTCAACATGTCTACCGTCCCAATCAAATATTTGTCCATCATCTCTTTAGCAGAATCACTGTGGCCAATATCTTCAAAGTCGGCCGTTGCATCTTTTCCTGCATCACATCGAATTCACTAGGCAATCTTACATATAAATCTTTGTAAAAATTTGATAACTCCATCAATGTCCATTGGTTAGAGGTGACATAGCAATCTACTATTTGCCAACAGAGCAGCCAATTGACTGCATATCAGTTTTCCGTTGGTCAAACTAGATATAAACAGAATGACCAAATTGAATGAAACGTATAAGTTCACTAACCAATTTACATTCAATATTCAACATCAAAATTTCGCATCTTAACCCAAATCTTTGCTTATGCAAAGTATCCTTAACATAAGTGAAATTGAAAAGGGTAGATTGTTGTAGCATTACCACTTGATGATAGCAAAACTTCATCACCTCCGGGATGATCATCCATGAATGGGGATACATCATATACCTGATGAAACAATTTTGCAGCATTTGATCACCGTGTATTTGAAACGAAGAATTCAAACAGTGTAACTTCCAATGAAACCCGAAAGTAAAGATTTAAAAGAATGCAGACAGTCTATGGTTTCTGTTTGATATATGGGCGTTCCCAAAATTTGCATAATTTTTCACACCCAAATCAAAACCATCACCAATTTCCCAGGCTTTGCCAAAACTAAATCAGGAGAAAAAAATCAACTCTGTAAGAGCATGTTCAGGTGATATTAGAATTTATTATGAGCAAAGGCCAAAGATTCTGAACTGGAAAATAATTTTGAAACAATCATTGAATAAGAAAAGGTCAAATCCAAACTATAACGGAAACAAATTACAAATCTGAAATCAGAAATTCAAAACAATAATCTGACCTTTCCCTCGATTACAAGCCAGCAATCCTTGATACTTCTGTGCTTGGAAACCTCCTCAAATGTGTACAATTTCGCCATTTTTAGCTCACAAGCAATTCGCTGAACACAGATTCCCTCGAATAAGTTCAACACTGTATACAATACTACAGAATGCATATAAAAACATCGTTATATACCGAATTAAATGTATATACCAAACAAAAAATGGAATCGTGAAAAATCAAATTCTTACCTTCAACGGATTCCAAAAATTTTCTCACTTCAATTGCCTTTTTGAGAGCGAGAGAGAGAGAGAGAGAGAGAGAGAATGCAAAGACTGACAGCCTGGAGTATGGATTTTAACCATATTTAAATGTCCTGATCTTTGATTGAATTGACATTTTGGCCATCAAACTTTGACGGAAGTTGCATACTATAAGGAATCAGTCAAAGAGAAGATAAGATAACATTTTCAGGTTAGAAGTTAGAACAACGTTCCCATTTTTTAATTAATGTTGAAAGTAGGGAACGATAAGGACATGTTTGTAATGTAATGTAACCTTAGTTCGGACGGGCATTTGTTCATAAATGTATAACATTTTCATCACATTTTTATCATTAATTTTTTATTAAATAGAAAATCAGGATTTTCATATACAAATTCTATTAGCGCGCTTTAAAATATGGGACCAATACGAACGTTAGGAAAGATAAGGTAAGACTAGTTGAGTTAACCAAATACCAATCGAAAGAACTTGACTTGGAAGGCTAACTTCTTAAAGATAAGCCTATCATGAAAATCAAAATCTTTAATTGACGAGGAGAAGCATCTCAAAGTATATACAAAGTATCAAAACCTGGGAACCAATAAGGGCACATCCTGCGATTTACCTCCCTTAACAGTTGAGGGGCCGGAGGTTCAGATACGAAGATATAGTCTGGCGCAAGTTGGGATATCTCGTTAAAAAAAAAAAAAAATTATCAAAACCCATCACAAGTTGAGATTGAGAGTCGAGTGATGGGTCACCATCCAGAATGATTTGAAGAGCATTTTAAGTCTGCATCGATGAATAGACGCCCCTCATCAAGCAAGAAGGAAGCGTAGCTTCTCACGACAGAGTCGCCATTGTCTATTTACACAATTTTGCATATATTTTCTTTTTTACTTGTTTAAAAAATTAAAGGCAAGTAAATCTTTTGATTTCCTATCGATATTTTAGGTTGAAAACCATAATCAAGTACAAAATTTGTTAATTGATAAAAAGTTGGGAAGAATACAGTTACAAAATAATAATAATAATAATAATAATAATAATAATAATAATAATATATTTCTGAATACAGGGTACCCTCAATAATAAGAAAGTAAAATATTGAACTTGCCAATTTGGACCCATAGATTGGCAGCCCACAGAAAGAAAAAGATTCAAACGAATAGTCCACGGGAGTGTGCGTCCAATTGATGGGCTGTTGAATTCCAATACGGTAGACTCCTTAATTTCTAAAAATCAAATTTGATGTCTATTTCTAAGTCATTTAAACAAATCTTGTATAGCATTATTTTAAAAAAATAAATAAGTGAATTGAGTCAATAAAAAGTGTTTTATTTTAGAATTTTATGCACTACGAGTCAATAAACTATTGTCAACCAAAGTATTGAAAGAATTTCTTAATTGATCTTGCACAATTTAACTAGAATTAAATAAGGCTCGACGGTATACCAAATAGGTCTAGGCAAAAAAATCGAAAAATCGACCAAACCAATCAAACTGAATCGACTCGAATTAGTTTGGGTTGGTTAGACACAGATAATTGGTTTAGTTTGATTTTCTTTTAAACAAAATCATGTTAGGTCAATTCAGTCATAGTTTGAAGTTTTCAAATCGTTGGTTAACTGAACCAACCTAACACACTTACGTGTTCATTGTTTTTTTAATTTAAGAAAGTTTAAAATCAAAATATAAACTCTAATCTCATAACCGGATCTCGATTCCCTCCAATCTATGATGTTGCCGGTAAGTAATAGCATTGGGAATTTTCTTTCACAAGCTTATCATGTTATACTTAATATTTTTTTCCATATTCAGACAGTCAGACTACATAATACATAAAAAAAAAAAAAAAAAAATTAAGTTTTATGTTGATCCGTCTTTATTAACCTGATTTTATTTGTTAATCAATTGTTATCATAATATAAAATTATTTGATTATAAGTGCACCTAAAACTCGGACAATTTTTTTAAAAAAAGATTAATTTGGACTAAAAAGTCCAAACCGATTTGGTTTGGTTCGATTCGATTTGAGAGTTAGAGTTTGTTGGTTTGATTTGAAATTTACCCAAACCAACTAATTTGGTTTTGATTTGAAATTTTCCCAAACTTACTAAAAATACCGCATCCTACGATTACTCTTTTTCCATTTTACATATATGTATTATAGTTTGTAACTGATGAATTCAAAGAAAAACATAGATCGCACTGTCCTTAATTGTTATTCTAAATCAACGATGAATGGTTTGGTCGGATCTTAGTTCCAATGGTTTGATGAGAAGTAAAAACTCATTGCAACAAGTGGAAGCTTATTTCTCTGATATGATATGGGGAACTTGTAAACAGACTTTGATTGGGGAATGTTCTCTTGGTTTACAAGTGAAATATTGGTTCTGTTATGAGTTTCTGTGGCAGGATGTTCACATTTCTTCATTATTTTTCTACAGGTTGGAGCCATGTTTACAAGACGATTGGTGAGTGTTAACCTAATCAATACTGCTATATAGACGGGCTCAAAAACATGGTAAGAAACAGGGTGGACACGTGTCGAAACATGATTGGACAATTTGAAAAAAAAAACAGTTAATCAATTTCTGTTAATTCAATTGTCCTCTGATTCACTATTTTTTAGCCTGTCTGACTGGCTTTATTCTAACCTTATAATCAAATATGTCATGATTCGGAAACAACTTTAGAGAGTACTAGTAATACAAAAACAATCTGAATTCTAGTTTTTGATCAAATAGAATTAAAGGAAATTGACATTTATGAAATTTCCAGATGGTTAAATGGGTAGAAATGAGTGGTGTATATAATCTATTGGGATGGTTACTATGGAAATTTACACCTAACATTATCTGTATCTGTGATAATACGCTTTACTGTTACGATGAATATTTATACGTGTAATATACTCACATTAGCATGATACACACAGAGTCATAAAACTGTGTACTATCGAATCACAGATCCATGAAATATTAAAGAACTTCAATCTTAAAATAGTCTCAAGATACAATATAATAGGGAAAAAAAAAAAGAATAAAGAAAAGAAAGATAGTCATAGTGATCGACAAAAATATGATAAAAATGAGTAGAAACTCAAAAAATAAAAAATAAAAGAACAAAAGAAGAAAGGAAAATCGGTGCAAAAAATGAGGCGCAGTTGACAAAGCAGTGGACAGCTTATATGATGGTTTTTTAAAACAAAGAGGAAGAGAAAATACAGATTTCTTGCAGAGAAAATGATGAGTACAGAAGCTACATAACCAACAGTTTTTTTCAAGTGAAATACAGGAGGTGTTCAACCATACCATTAGTCAACAACTTCTACCAACTACAGCATTATATAGTGACAGAATAATCTATATATCAAGGTCGGTCCTGTGATTGTTAGGGCCCGAGGCGAAGTTTATAAATTAGGCCCCCAAAAATTTTTTTGACCCTTTTAGCCACTGCCTGCTGATTGTGGCGAAAAACAAAGAAGACGAGAAGACGAGCACAAAAGAAAAGGAAGAAGAGAAAAAGCCCAATTCAAAAGACAAAAAAATAAAAAAAAAAATACCGATGTTCTTTTTACATAATTTCACACCTTAAAAAAAAAAAAAAGGACCAAATGAGGCCCCTTCAGTTTTGGGCCTAAGTCATTGGCCTCTGCACAGGACCGGGCTTGCTATAAATTTGCAGACATTATAATCATTAAAAATAAACATTGCATAGGCTGATTTTAATACACAAAAATACTGCAATTGGTGACAGCAAAAGTATCAACCAATGTTAACATTATATCCTCTCTTCGGGATTTCCGATTTAACGTGCATAATCTACCTACTCATGTTAACAAATAAAAAGAAGATATGG